CAGAAGGGCCATGCAGTGAACCTGCTGGATGTGGGAGCGGCCTCCCTGCCAGTCCCCAGAAGGGCCATGCAGTGAACCTGCTGGATGTGGTAGGTCGCTCCCTGCCAGTCCCCAGAAGGGCCATGCAGTGAACCTGCTGGATGTGGTAGGTCGCTCCCTGCCAGTCCCCAGAAGGGCCTTGCAGTGAACCTGCTGGATGTGTTAGGTCGCTCCCTGCCAGTCCCCAGAAGGGCCATGCAGTGAACCTGCTGGATGTGTTATGTCCTAAATAGGAAGTGCGGTAATATGTGATGAGCTGGGTTGACCTCTGACTGGTGCACATTGTTCCTTTTGCACAGCCCGTCCCTGTTACCAGGAAACTGTCTGCCCGTGAGCAACGCGATTGTGAGGTGATCGAGAGGCTCATCAAATCCTACTTCCTTATTGTGCGGAAGAACATTCAGGACAGGTACCACCAAGCCTGTAACTTGCACAACACTGATATTGATTGGCATGAGCCATTTTTGATTGTGTCTTCCTGGTGAGCAGCGTGCCCAAGGCGGTGATGCACTTCCTGGTGAATTACGTGAAGGACAACTTGCAGAGTGAGCTGGTGGGGCAACTCTACAAGTCCGGGTTGCTGGATGACCTGCTGACGGAGTCGGAAGACATGGCCCAGCGCCGCAGCGAGGCGGCAGACATGCTGAAGGTGAGAAGCCCACTCAGGGGCAGGATCGCTGTCGGCAAGTGATGGACAAAATGATGCTTCATCAACCATTTGCTGTTTGTTTTTTCATCCTACTAGATGGTGCTCTTGGTTTGTGTTGGGGCATGCTTTGAGCCCTTTTCTGAGCAGAGTGCTCCATCTAGGGGGATTAAAAACTACAGCACATAGTTCATGAGGCATTATTTTGTCCATCACTAATGTCAAGCATGGTATGACCTTCACTTTTCACCCCTTCCAGGCTCTACAGAAAGCCAGCCAGGTCATCGCAGAGATCCGGGAGACTCACCTATGGTGAGGGTCTCTGGTGCGCTTGACCTCCACAGAACCGACTTGAAAAAGCACTGCTGTGGATTCATGTATGTGTCTCACTGTTTCTTTCACCATGTGGACTCTGCAAGCCAGTATGTTATGCAGTATCATTCTTTGCCAGCTTGACACACTTTTACTGGTGTCTTTTGCAAATAAACAAGAGAAGCACAGGATTCAAAGCAGTTTGGCTCTGCACTAAGATGGCAGTGTCAGTCTCCGTCCTTCATGTGTCCAGCTCTCTCTGTCCATCATAGACTCTTTTGTCCTGTGCAATGTCTGAAATTGGCAGAACGTCTGTACATAGCTGTAAGACTTTGAGCATGAATGGAGTTTCCTCGAATCTGGATCCAGTGACTGGAAGTGCAGGCGGGTCCAGGTGGATCACGTTACTGGTGACATGGACTGGAGCGATTGGGTGGTTGTGCACAGGGCTGTTCACTGTGAGTGCTTGAATGTTACGTCCAGGCTGGGTAAAGCATGACATGCATTGTTAAGGTGTAATAAAATGACAGTATTTTACGAAGCTGTTCCCTGAGCGCCTGTGGTATTTTCTTGCTATGTCATAATCATCCAACTGGAATAAACAAAAATTTCAGGAATTTGTTTTGCTGATAATTGATCTGCTACTTTCTAAATGGTAAACATTTAAAATATGTGGGCACATCGCAGGTGCTGGTATTAGATGTGCAAAGCCGTTGGGATGTAACTGATAAAATGATGAAAAGGGAAGGACATCTTTAAAATGCGTGCCCACGTGGACGGTCTCGTTTCGTGCTGCACGAGCCGGTCAGGGAACCTACCACTAATCCGTGTTCCTCTCTCCCTTTTCCCACTGCTGCCTAATGCATGTTTATAACAGTAGTACGATCAATTCCTCTCCATCTGTTATGACTTTGAAGCATTTAGTCAAGTCTGACAACACCCAAAGCTGTGCTCCTTTTAAAAAGGAAAAAGTCGCTATTTCAGATTCTTACCTTTCAGAATTCGCTGCTGTTTCGTAGCTTAATGCTATTGCAGTTACACAGACCCTTTATTATACTTGTTCCAAAAAGAATACCAAGCAGGCCCCAAAGCAAACCAAGTGCACCACCTAGTGGGGTTAAAAAATACTGCAAATAGTTCATGAGGTGTCGTTTTGTCCATCACTAGTTATGAGCTAAAAACTAACTGAGGGTGATTTTCAGCTTAAGGGATATTTAAAAAAAATCTAGCCCTCATAAAAGAGGTGGTGGTGTGTGTTCATCTGTTATTCGTTAGGGCCTTATTTTAAGGTTAGAAGAACTCATGGGTACTAACTTGGGTAGTACAAACAGTTGCTCTAGCCAGTGCCAGTGATTGCTTTATTTGTACATATGATACATCCAAATGATCTTGAATGCTCCCAGTGCAGCAAGAAATAGCTGGAAAAAAGCCACACTGTCTTTGTCCGCTTCCCTCTGGAGCCTCCTGCTGCCACCTGCCACTCTCCCTTTACCTCAGCCGGCCTCCCATTTTGCCCTTGCCACGGCCTTTGGCGCTGAAAAAGAGAGCGCAGGCTGTGGAAATGCAAGCATTACGTTCGGCCACTAGGTGGCAGCAGATTACAGCATTGCATCATCTAAGGTAGAGATAGGAACGGTCTCAAAGTCCATATTTCATATTTTCTTCTGTTAAAAAACTCTTTGAACTTTTTAAATTAAACACCTTTTACCACTTACATCTTCTGAGACATCTGATTGCAGGAGTAGACTGAAAGACTGACTTCAAAGTGACTCATCAGGCATGCATTGTGATAGGACAACAAACAAGATGAAAACAGGTGTTTGTGATCAAACTGATGAGGACAGAGCATGCGGGGGTCGGCACTTCACCAGCATGCTCATTATCCCAGCAGCTGATTGACCTACAATTTTCTTTCAATTTGAGCTTCATGGATATAAGGTCATTGCAGTGCTTCAGACGACATTCATCCGTCCATAACTTCTGCTGCACACTCTTCCTTCACGCAGCCTTTTTGGGAGAAGTACGGCTTCATAACCTCTAAGGACACTGTAGCTTCTGTCAGAAGCTTTCAGTTATAAGGCTTCCGTAGATATCTAGGGAGCTTGCACTTTTTGGTGCTATGAAATCGTCATTTTGTTTTGTACACATGCAGTTAAGGTCAGGCACTGGGAGACGAGAGTCAGGATCATCCCAAGTGGAGCGGTTGGGTAGGGGGTGAAATCTTATTGAAGGGGGGAGACACTTAGTGAAACTGGTCAGGTGGAGGTGCTTGGTACTGCACCCCCATTCAGCTTCCCTTTGACTCAATGGTGCGACCCAATCACATGGCCCAGCTTGAGAAAAAGCGAGGTCATGTGACTTCAGGGTACAGTGGGGTATTGGTGCACTCTGTATGCATGCAGGGGGTCAGCACAACAAAAGGAAGTGGAACATCTTATTGGATGGTAATACTGACCAATGGGCAATTGGAACTGTTTGAAATTTGAAGCAAATCATTTTTAAAAAGCTGTTTCTTTTCTTTATACCTGCTATACAAAACCGTTTCAAAGAAGTCGGGAAGCTGTGTAAAATGTAAATAAAAGCAGAATTTACAAATCATATAAACCCATATTGAATTGAAAATAGAACAAAGACATTAAATGTTGAAACTGAGAAATTTTGTTTTATGACAAATATAACAATTTGATGCCAGCAACATGTTTCCAAACAGTTGGTAAAGGGGCCTGTTCACCACCATGTGGCATCAGCTCCTCTTTTAATCCTGTTCACCACCGTGTGGCATCAGCTCCTCTTTTAATCCTGTTCACCACCGTGTGGCATCAGCTCCTCTTTTAATCCTGTTCACCACTGTGTGGCATCAGCTCTTCTTTTAATGACACTCTGAGTGTTTGGGAACTGAGGGGATCAGTTGCTGGAGTTTTGAAAGTGAAATTTTGTCCCATTATTGCCTAATATAGGATTTCAACTGCTCAACAGTTCGGGGTCTCCTTTGTCATTTTTTTCATGTCTTGATGCACCAAAGTCAGTGTGTGACAGGCCTGGACTGCAGGAAGGCCAGTCTTGCACCCAGACTCCTCTACTACAGAGCCATGCTGTTGTCATACATGCAGAATTCTTAAATTGTTGCACTATTTGCACACACAGTCTTTCACAGAGCGGTGAATCTCTCCACATCTTCACTGCACAGAGCGGTGAATCTCTCCACATCTTCACTGCACAGAGCGGTGAATCTCTCCACATCTTCACTGCACAGAGACTCTGCCTCTCTGGGAGGCTCTTTTTATACCCAGTCATCTTACTGACCTGTTGCCAATTAACCTAATTAGTTGTGAGATATTCAACCAGGTGTTTTGTTTTAGCATCACACAACTTTTCGTTTATTGCTCCTCCCGCAACTTTTTTGAAATGTGTTGCTAACATCGAATTCAAATTGAACATATATTTGACATAAAACAATAACATTTCTCATTTTCAACATTTGATATGTTGTCTTTTTGTGAAATATGGGTTTATATGATTTGTAAATCATTGCATTGTGTTTTTATTTACATTTTACACAGCATCCCAACTGTTTTGGAAACGAGGTTGTACTTTAAATCTGCAGTTCCTCAAAGCTTCAGAATCATTTGAGGAACAGGACACTTTTGCCTCAATTGATGTGAAGACCTTTCCAAGAAGGCCAAACCCACCACTCTGGCCAAGAGCGTCCCAGTGACGCCCCCACGCCTTAAATTTGGCCAGTGTGGCTCCATGGACTCACCTCTGGTGATCCTGAACGCGAACCAGGAGCTGAGTGATCTGTGGAGGACACACACGGAAGCTTAGCTAAGCTCAGGAGGAATGCACTGGGGAGTCAGGGGTCCTGCGAGGTCCTCCTAGCCGTCCGCGGGGCCGCGGCCCCCCTGCCCTCCAAAAGCGTCACCTGTATTCGACAGCGACCACCCCACGTGGTCCATCACCCCCCGTCCGGATCCAGGGGCTGGATTTGACTGACTGTAGACTACCGTGCAGGGGTGGGGAGTGGGGGGTGAGTTTTGGGGGTTTGCGCCTTCACACCAGTTACTTACAACTTCTGCTGCTCATTGATTCGGTTCTGGAGCACACACATCTGGAAGCAAGTTAACAGATTTAGATACGTGAGCTGGGAATGCCCCTCTGCTCGGGTGCACTGTGGGACGTGTCACACACGGGTTACAGTGCCCTCTGCTGTTTACATTAGCAACCAGTGACCTAACTCCTATTCCTGTTATGACTGTCCCATAAGATTCAGGCTATATGAAGGCTTCTGAAACTGAGGTTGTACCCCTGTTAATAGTTAACATTTAAGCAATGTTGTTTAAATGTACAGATAAATATTTGGGTGGAAATACATTCTTAGAAGAGTAATTCTTTTGTGGTGTGATATTTAAAGTTGATTACTAAACAGAATATGCCTTACACACCAAACGGTCCCAGAACCATGACTTGTGTGTGTCCTGGAAGGTAAATATAGAAAGGAAGAGAAGAATAGGCAGATAACGACACCCGTAACATTACGATCACTGGTTACGCTCTGACGTTTGGATGGTTCATTTTCCTTCCACTCACTGTTCATTCATAGGTATGAACAAGTTGGTCATTTTACTGCAGCAGATGGCGATACATACTGGCAAACTTTCATTTTTATAGCACTGTCATATAAATCTTAGATTAATCACACAAGTATAATACTTGACATTCAACAGGATCTCTAAATGTGAGCATTATATCCAATCATAAATGCCCCAATGATTCATCTGATGCAGTTAAAACCACAAAAAAGTGCACATCTTGAATTGATTGATTTAAGGATTTTTTTCTTTCATTATGATGCTGTTTTGAGTCAGCTCAGACTTAAGTGACCTGTGAGATGTATAAATCATGAAGTACTTTGGCGGATCCATAAAATGCCGCACTTCTTTGCAGTACTTACATCATATTTCTGCCTCTTCAGTTTCTCTGTGAGGTCAAACTTCTCCGCTTCCAGCTGCATCATCCATTGCCAAAGCTCAGTGGCCTTTTCTCTGTGGTGCGAGAGCCAGTGAGAGGACAGAATGTGTCCCTGTACGTGTCACCAGAGTAATCCTGGTTATCAGACCACCACTGGCTCTTTTGTTAAAGAAATGGGAGACCAGATATTTTACCAAAAGGTATCAGGTCTGATTCATCCCTTAAGAAGTTCACACGCTTTCAGATTCCTGTTCTCTGTAAAGCACGTACAATGCATTAGCAACCGCACCACCCAAAACACTGGCACCACCTGCACTGCCTGCAGCATCCACACTGCCCACAGTACTGGAACCACCTGCACCAACCACAGCACCCACACTGCCCGCAGTACCAGCACCACCTGCACCACCCAAACTGCCTCAGCCCCTGCTGCCGCTGCACCACCCACAGCACCCACACCGCAGTGCATTGCTGTCTATCCTGTATCGCACTGCTGTCTGTCTCATTGTCCCCCATGCACCTGTCTTATCTCACTGCTGTCTATCCTGTATCGCACTGCTGTCTGTCTCATTGTCCCCCATATAGCTGTCTTATCTCACTGCTGTTTGTCCAGTATTGCACTGCTGTCTGTCTCATTGTCCCCCATGCA